GGATTGGCCGAACCGTTAGGCCAGGCGACGAAATGGCGGCGGGGCCGGGTGAGCTGGGAGGTGTCGCAGCGCGCACCTCATTTGTTACTGCGCGGACTGAGCGCCCAGGCCGGAGGGGCGGAGATTAAGGTGGGGCAAAGTCTATGACGTAGAGCGAACGGCTAGCTCATTGGCTGGAGTTGATGGAGTCCCGCTCCTCGGCGTCGTAATGCCTCGGGATTGGCTGAAACGACTCCGCTCCCCGGGGACGAGTTGCTCGGGAATCGAGAAAGCCCGGAGGAGAAGCCCGAAGGAAGATCGGGGGAGGCGGGGAGCAGGAGGTACGCATGCGTGGTGAGGCCCGGCGGCCTCTGTCCCTCCACCAGCGGGGCGGGAGCGGAAGCTGTAAGTGACGTTAGTCATTGTGCCTGAGGTAACCAGGAACCGCCGCGGGCAATGGGCGGGCTCGAGTGAATGAACCGGATACGTCGGCGACGCAGGTAGAGAACTTCCTGTTTTCTTTAGAAAAATAAAGTTACGGAATAGGGTAGTTTTTTGTTTGTGGCTTAATTTTTGGTTTGGGTCCTTTTGTTATTTTTGTTTGTTTTGTTTTTCGAGACGTTTCTCTGCGTAGCCTTGGCTGTCCTGCCTCTGCCACCGCGAGTGCCGGGCGTTGGTGGTGCACGCCTTTTATCCCAGCACTCTGTTGACAGAGGCAGGCGGATCTCTAAGAAATTAATACCTAAAGTGATAGAACAAACCATATAACCTCAGATGAAAGACAAGGTGGCCACCTGAGTATTTGAGAGGTTGAGACAGGAGAGCTGCCATGATTTGGGGCCTATCCTGGGATAGAGTATATCTGTGCCAAAAAAAAAAAAAAAAAAAAAAAAACAGGCTTAGTGCCATATGCCTGCAATCTTAGCTCTTGCAAAGAAAAATCAGGAGCTCACAGTCATTCTTAGAAACAATTCAAAAGTTTTTTCCATCGTAATCAGTGTGTTGGGAATTTGACTAAGTTACCTTAAAAGTATATGACCATGGAAATGCCTTCTCATAAAGTAAACATAAGAGCAATGAAACAACTTTTTTGCAGGAAAACCCAGTAACACAACAGAATATAATTGGGAATAGGATAATCACAAAGCTGATTACTTCAACCCAGTAGAGAGAAAGATGTTTAATAAATGATGTAGAAGGGCTGGAGAGATGGCTCAGCAGTTAAGAACACTGGCTGCTCTTCCAAAGAACTGGGTTCAATTCCCAGCACCCACATGACAGTTCACAACCACCTGTAACTTCAGCCCCAGGGGATCCAAAGCCCTCTTCTGGCCCCACAGGGACTGCATGCATGTGGTACACAGACTTACATGCAGACAAAATACCCATGTACATTAGACAAAATTTTAAAAATGATGTAGAAAAATCTGAAAACACGTAGACAATTTAGAAGATGTGGGGTAATCTAGGAATCTAGACAAGAAACTCAAGACAAGAAACTCAAGACAAGAAACTCAAGACAAGAAACTCAAGTATGCTGTGTGGTACAAGTCAACAGGTCGTGGCTACAAAGACAAGAAACTCAAGTATGCTGTGTGGTACAAGTCAACAGGTCGTGGCAGATTAGGGAGGAAATTGCCATGCAACAGAGAAGGAGCAAATGTCTGGCCTGAGAATACACATCAGTGGTAGAGCTTTTGCATATCACATGCAACTTCCTTGATTCTACCTCTAGAACTGCAAAAATAGAAGAAAAACCAAATGTCTGTAATACCCACAGAAGCCTTCAAGACTAAGTAGAGGAATGGCTAGAGAGATGGCTCAGTAAAGAACGCTGGCTACTCTTCTAGAGGACCTGATATCCACATATCAACTAACAAACATGTCTCTCCTGTTCAAGGGATCGAGACTCCCTCTTCTGAACACCTCAGGCACTGCTTGCTCACAGGTGGTGCACAAACATAACATGCAGGCAAAACACCCATACACATCAAAAATTTTAAAAACTAAAACTGGGCCAGGCATTGGTGGCACACGCCTTTAATCCCAGCACTCAGAAGGCAGTGACAGGTGGATCACTGTGAGTTCGAGGCCAGCCTGGTCTCCAGAGCAAGTGCCAGGATAGGCTCCAAAGCTACATAGAGAAACCCTGTCTCGAAAAACCAAAAATAAATAAAACTAAATACAGGGACTAAGGCTGTACTTTAGTAGTAGAATGCTGGCCTAATATGGCCAAAGACCTGGGTTTGAGTCCCACATACTGGAAATAATTATTATGGAGCCAGCCATGGCAAGCTGTAATAGTTTGAATAGGAATGTCCCACCCCCGTTTTTCTCTCTGTCTCTCTCTGCCTTGTACTTGGCTAATACAGTGTAAGTTTTCAGCTACTACTACAGCACCATGCCTGCTGCCATGGTCCCTGTCATGATGGTCAGAGACTTAACCTCTGAACTGGAAGCCCCCAATAATTCTTCCTTCTATAACATGCCTTAGTCATGGTGTCTCTTCGTAGCAATAGAAAAGTAAGTGGTGGTGGAGGCTTACCATGGCAACCCTTGGAGCCCTGATCATGGCCCTGGGAGTGGCAAGGAGCATGGGGGCCATGGCCTGTAGCCTGCACACCACCATGGCTTCCTGCCCATCAAGGGGCAGTGCTGCACACCAGACCCACTGTGCTGTGGGAAGAGTGTGGTGCTCTAGAGAATGTGAAGGCTGCTAGTGAACTCTCCTCTCAGAAGAGGTAAGTGAAATCCATAAAGTAGGTGCAGAAAACCTGGGGCTCGCCAACAAATCCACAAAGGTAGCTGGCCCATCAAGATGACACTGATTGACCCTTCAGAGCTGGATGAACTAATGTGTGAAGAAGTATATGAGAAATACATGAAATGTGTTTAAGAATGAACATGACACCCACACCCCCACACATAACAGAGTGAGAAGTAACCTGCTCCAGCATGCTTGTCTTAAAAGCATTAGTGGAGGATAGAAGACTTGAAATACCTTTTTTTTTTGAAACAGGGTTTCACTGTGTTATGTAGCCCTGGATGTCCTGGACTCAAGGTGTGCGCCTACAAACATTTTAAAAACAGGGAAAGGATTAGGAGGGGAAGCATGCACTACAGTCTCCACCCCTCTCGGTCCTTAACCCGGAATTGCATCCTCGTTTCATTCCCATTGCTGTAATAATGCCCTGGCAAAAGTAACTTTACGGGAAAAAGGGCTTAGTTGGCTTACAATTACAGGTTACAGTCTATCCTTTAAGGGAAACTGAGGCAGGAACTTGAAGAAGGTAGTTATATTCATAGTCAAAAGCAGAGAAAAAAATGCCTCTTCCACCCCAAGACTCCCTGTCTAGGGGATAGTGCCACTCATAGTGCCCTGAATCTTCCTAATTTAAGACATGCCCACAGGCCAACTTGATCTACAGTCCCATTAAGACCAGTGCCAAACATTGTAGATTGTATCAAGTTGGCAAAACTAACCATCCCAATAACCAACTTTTTTCACAAATGTGTGTGTGTGTGTGTGTGTGTGTGTGTTGTATGCGAATGCAGGCACATTCATGCCACGGGGCTTGTGTGGAGGTGAGAGGACAGTGTCAGGAGTTAGTTCCCCTTCCACATCGACATCTCTCTCATTTCTGATGCTGCGTTGAGTATTCCATTCGCGTTTGCCCTCAAGCTGATTCTCCTGTCTTCACCTTCCATCTCCCCATAGAAGTGCTTTTACCCACTGAGCCATCTCCTTCAGCTTCAGAATAATAAATTGATCATTTTGGACATTTTTCTGTTTATAGTATAAACATAGTTTCTGGGGCTGAGGATGAATCTGGGTGGCAGAGTATGTGCCTAATGTAAGGCCTTGGGTTTGACCCCCTCCATTGTAGACCAAAACAAAGCCATAAACATAGTATCTACAGTCCCTGCTGTCAACTCTCTATTCCAGTTTAGTCCGTAACAACCCCCTCTGCAGTCCCTGCTCCTGCTGAGGTCCTGGCTTGAAAGCTGCCATTTTTCATTTCTTCATACTTTTTGCCCCCAGCCCACCCCAAACATTATTGCTATGTAGCTGGCCTTCAACTGGTCTCTCCTGTCTAAGCATCCCAAGTTCTGGGATTACACATGTGCACCACTGTGCTCAACCTCCTCCCATAACTTTCTGTGTATGAATGCATGGTCAGCTGATAGTTTTGCCAGTTTCTGAGCTTCCTAACATACTTCCCAGCACACACTTGCCATATTATGGGACAGACTTCTGGTGTTGCTGCATTAAGGACTTACAGCATCTCCTGACTGCGCAATTGCCTTGCTTTAGCTGATGGTCATCCCAGGGAAGTCAAGCTCAGTGACTATGGCACCTGCCCTGTACTCCACATCACTTTCCCCCTCTCGTTCCAGAGACTCTGCACATTCAGGGATGGGCTGCACCAGGATTTTCCCATGTGCCCTTGTGGCACAGGCCTGCTTGTTGGACATGTTAGTTTGCCCATGTTCTCTGTTCTGCTTTTTTCAGGAAGGGTCTTGGTGTGTAGCACTGGCTGGCAGTCCTGCCTCAGACTCGAAAATGCTGGGTGACAGGTGTGAGTCACCATAACCAGTGATGTATCTATCCACAGAATGATAGAGAGACCCCATCCCACAGAGGGCACTTTTATGGTACCTCACCATGGCAAACACAGACACTCCAACCTAGCAATACCGCTTCAGGAATTGATCCCCCAGGAACACTTGAGTACACATTGTCTCTGACACAGGAGTTATTTATTGCAGTGTGTTTTGCGATATTAAAATAGAAATACATTCCATCAATAAGGATCTTTCGGTTAACACTAGTCACCTGAAACATGTGCAACCCAGCACAAGCCATACAAAAAAAGGCCAGGTTGATAATGGAAAGATCTCCAGTATATTTTCAGAGAGCCAGCAGGATATATGAACTGTTGCCATGTGAATAAAAATATACCAAATTGTTTAAATATCATAAATACTTCTAGAAGGGACTGGAGGACAAATGAGAGACAAGTTTTATTTATTTGTGAGGCAGGATCTTGACTACATATAATCTTGGCTGGCCTGGAATTCACTATGTAGACCAGGCTAGACTACAATTCACAGACAGTC